AACTTTTGTATTTTGTCTAAAATGAAATTAGTTTTTATAAAGGTGTTAAATAAACGTTGCTCGATTTTTGCCATATTTTATGATTTTCGTGAAATCGATAAAATATACCACTTTCATTGAGCGGTCACTATGGCAGTTCCATTGTTAGATCCTATTCTTCAAAACCTATAACATGAAATTCCGGTTTTGAGTTTTAACACCAAATGAGAGGCATTTGAAATATTCCCAACAAACGCTGAATTTAAACTTTCACATACAAACGATCTAAAACGTTTGAAACTGCTTCTATTCAATGACACAGGTACGTTTTTTGAAACTACAAAACTTCAGCTACAAATTCAAGCGTTGTTTCTGAGAGACCCATTTTTTATTTGAAACATTTTTTTCTACGGTGTACAAATTCTTGATGAATTGATTTTTTCCGTTTTCCACCCTCTTCGATGGGGCGTTTTAAGGGGAAGCATGGGAGTACAAGTGGTAAAGCTTTTTCTTCTTTTTTGGGTTCCCAAAACTGACATTCTCAACAAAATTCAGCTTGTTCGTATGATTTTTAGGGGTCACATCACTGACCACTGGACTATATACATTTTAAAGTAGATTACTTTAAAAATATATTGTCAATATTTGTGAGGTGCCTTCCTGGGATTACTTTATTTGAAAATTAAATAAAATTAACTTCAACTTAAGAATACCTGATACAAAAATACTGATACCATGGGATTGATTTTTAAAAAGACAACCACGTCCACCCTGGTAGCCAAGGTGGACGTGGCTCCACCACGTGGAGCAACTCTCCACGTGGTGGAGCCACCACGTAAATAAATAAAAATAAAAATAAATTCTCTTGTTAATAATCCCATTGCAAATCTTCTTCTTTGAATATTGCTAACCAAATCCTACTAAACTACCGAGGAATTTGCGAAGCGGTTGTTTCATTTAGCAAAATAAGACCGGCTTCTTCGCTCTATACTCTTTCCTATGCGTATTTACATATCTGAGATCTATCATATTCTTTATTTTAGATATGATTGATGTTCACTTATTCTAACGTTTAACGGCCTTAAAGTTTGATTTAAATACAATTTTTTTACATTCACAAGGTATTTTATAAATAAAATCCTTTGTCTTTCTTATTCGTTGTAAAGTTTTGTTTTAGATAAAATAAATCTCAATGTTTCTGGTGATTTAAATGCTGTTGAAATACTGAATTTATTTCCTATCCTTGTATATCCAAAGTTTTTCTGGTAATCCTTCTAGGTATGGTATTGCTATTTTCCTCAAATCATGTCTTGTAAATGTTATAGGATCCCGTTCAATCTCCCCCACACTATCGTATGCTTTTTGAGGTCGACGTATAAAGATATATAATCGTGATTCTTTGCGGGTTTTTTATTATTTGTCGTAAATATGTGTTGTTGAAATAGAAGTTGTTTTCCTATCTATCGAGGTTTTTGCACTATTGCTACAATTCAGGAATAACTGACTTGGTTGCTGGATTTTCTAAGCAAAATAAAGAAAGCATATCGAATGATACAAAATCAGTTATTTACTAGCGAAAACAATAATTGATAACAGTAAAAAAATTGACAGACACACCACATATATTGGTTATTTAAATTAAAATTGGATCAATTAAGGCCGTACTGTTTTAAAGATATGTTTGTATTGTAATATAAGATTTCGGCAAGCATTCCTAGAAGAATACCTGTACCTATAATGCAATCGGTTTCGAAATCTACCAAAGATTATCACGAAGAAATAATTTACAATATATTTGACGAATATTTGCCTCAAATAAAAGGTGAAGGGATAAGACGGGTTGTGAAGAAGTTTTAAAAAACGTGTAAAATTGTACTAAAGCCGAGAACTACATAAAAAACAGGAAGAGATGTTGTAAACTGTAGATGATAATATTCAAGTTTGTTAACCTATAAAAAATACTGTTATCATGTCTGTCGGACACGACAACTGACAATCTGATTCCTTATCCGGAAAATGGATTTAATGTGTCTACACTCTCTGAGTTTTTAATGTATCTACATTAATTTCAAAATTTAATTTACAAACAAAATACCTAAACAAATTTACATATAAGCGAAGTAAATGTATTAATTGTAATTATTTTATTTAATCTTCCTATCTTTAATATTCCTTGTAAGTAATAATCATAGTATCGTATAGCTTATGGCATTTTTGCCAGTGTCAGAGACGAAAATACCAGTGAATCTCTAAAAATTATACGAAGAAGTAGAATTTTGCCGAGAATCTAAATTTTAGGACGCAAAAACATGCAAAAAAGTTTACCACTTTTACCCCCGAACTTTCCCCTAAAACCCCTCCTCGTAGGGGAAAAAACGGAAAAATCAATTTACCAAGAATCTGTACGCCATAGAAAAAATGTTTCAAATATAAAATGTTCAACAAATTTGCAACAAAAATGTTGAACTCTGATCAAAAGAGATATAATTTTTACCGTAGAGTTGATACAAATTTTATTTACGGTTGATCTGCACCACCCAAAAGACAAACTACACATTTAAAAAATTTGAAAAAATTTGAGAAGATATATGTGACTTTGACCAATTTTTGAGCAAACTTCATGCTTTCGTTTTCGAAAAAACTCTAAAAAACTACTTTTTTCCAAGTATAAAACGGGAAAACCAGACATACAATTTTGTTAATTTTCTTACAGCATAAAGATACAACCCTAAGAAATACTTATGATTTTTTTGACAATTTTTGAATGTACAGTTTTGTCATAATGGGAAAAAATAATATGTTCCGGCTTATAATAGAGCTACCGGTAAGAAACCGGAAAATTTTTTAATATCAACATATTATAAAACTGTAAAAGTGGAAAATATTTGCAATAAAACGGTGAATATTTTTTCCTAAATATATGCATTAATTTAAGCGTTGCTTAACCATTTTTGTTCAAAATTATCTCAGCTACATTTTTTATTTGAAACATTTTTTCTACGTAATACAAATTCTTGGTAAATCGATTTTTTCCGTTTTTACGCCTCTACGAGGGTGGTTTTAAACAAAATTGATATTCTCGGCAAAATTCGGCTTGTGCGTCTGATTTTATGGGTTAAATATCTGATGACTGGACTAGGAAAATCTTGTCGGATCTTTAACCATGTTTTAAGTAGCTAATGTCGATGCACATTAGCACAGGGGGACCGACGGCTTTACGTGCCCTCCGAAGCACAGTAAACATCACGTATCATTTTTAGAAATGAAAATTTCGTTGTTGGTGTCAAGAATCGGGCTCGTTCGCTTTGGCTTAGAATGCCGTAGTAGTATCTTGCCGCTGAGCTATTCCTTGAGTAATTAGAAAAAAAAACAGTCTCCTCTTGACGATCCGATGTTCCGACTTTGCTCCATTATTTTACTACCTGGTTTCTTGGAGAATCTTGGGTTTATATTGTAATTTGTACCGGGTGGACTCTTTGCAAAATAATGAAAATTATGAATTTCAACAAAAATCGATTTCATCATGACTGATACTATTTTTGACCACTGTTATCTGCTTTTTAAACCATTTAAACATCGCCGTACTAACGTAATACATTTGCACTTGTAATCTGCAACATTTTTAGTAATTAATTGGTAATTTTTAATATTTTTTAGTGTTCTTAAATTTAAGCATTACTATATATATATATATATATATATATATTATATATATATATATATATATATATATATATCAAAAACTTGCGTAATATTATTTTAGGAGTCTTATATTTTAGTCATATGTATTTTAACAACCTTAAATGTATCCAGTTGGCAAACAACTACAAAAGGTGATTGCCAAGAGTTGTAGGAAGTAAAATGACAGAGGAACACCTTTGTAAGCGGTTAGTTCTAAGAAAAGATACTCCCAAAACTTTAAAAATATATATTTGCATGTTGCTTTAATCTATTGTGTAGGACAGCATTTTTTCTTTATGATTTTAACCATTTTCCAGTCTAGTATATTTACCTCGGTTTTGTGTCAGTCACTGAAATGAATATATTCTATTAAATGAGTCCCTAGTGGTTTTAATAACTCATATGAGAATCCTAGACTCTTCCTATGACTGATTTCTGATTGGTTTTTTGGGCTAGTTCTTTGCCACTTCATTAACATTGACTTTGATATAAGATGGGTTTGTTAACTAAATTGTTGTTGTTCATCTAGTTATTCAAAAAATTCTTACTTTAGCAAAGCATTATCAAAATATTTTGCAGAATATTAAAATATTTAAGATAGAAATAACAAAGATTTTACTTTGATCCTCAATCTATGATAAACCACCAAAACAGGAAATATTTGTGCTACATGACATGTGTTGCTTATAATAATAAATGAGGTCAATGTAGCTACCTTCAAAATAATTTTTATGAAATTATTTAGCAATTATATAAGTTAGATATAACTATAAATATTTATCTAACAATGTGAAGGCTACTGGTACTACTTAGTTGCTATATTAAGTGTGTGAGACACAAAGAATAAACCTTGAATACTTATATAACAACAATAAATTAATATCTTTATATCTAAAGGCATTTTTTTCTCTACACACATCTAAGAAATGTCAAGAGACTTCTAACAGGCTCTATATATTCTTTGTTTATTTTAGGAAAATGTTTCTGTTTAATTATTTATTGTCTTTGCTTGGCCACTAAAACCTGCAGATCTGAAACCATTTAATAAAGTATGTATATGCTATAAAAGCATATATACAAAAGTGCCACAATAAACAGGGGCAAACATCGAGAAGTATGTTAGGTCCTATCTTTTATATAATTTTTAAAGGCTATTGATTTTTTATAGATAATACAAGCATTTAGGTACTTTTTTTATTAAAATAAATCAGAAAAATTCAGAAAAAAAAGTGTATTTAAAAAAATTAACTAATTTTATTTACATTCCTGCATCAGTCTCTATAAAGAACTATATCTATATGAAATATTGCAAGAATTCTTGAAAAAGAAAGTTTACTTACCATTGCATTCTTCCGTCTGTTTCTCGTTGTACTGGGTCCTTGAAGACATGGTTTTCAATCAAATCTTTGTTCGAATTTTAAACTGAGTAATATCTGTATTTCCTGGTTGAACAAAAGCTTTTATGGCACAGAATATAAACAAAAACCCCAAAGCGGTATGGAATACAATTTTGAAAAGAAAATGGAAAAATTAGAACATACCCATAAGCTAAATCACGGCTCTCCTCAAGTCCTCTGAAAAATGATCTGAAGAAGTATGAATGATGAATTTTTTTAAGATCAGTCTCATTCCAATCCGGTATCTAATTTCAGTCGCCAGATTTACTATCTATGAAGACGTTCAATAAAAATCACTACAAAGGTAATGTGGTTACATTACCCGAAAAAGGAAATGTAAATTTAGAAAATGTTTTCTCTTAACAGCTGATTGCCCCTTCAGAAATGAAATAGGAATTCAACGCCAGAAGAAAATTCAAAACACCGTGAATAGGGATTCACCGTTACACTTATTGGTTAGCACAACTTTCCTACGTTACGGATTTTCTATGACTGGTTTTTAAAGAGAAATAAATATGTATATTTTGTCACCAATCACCCACACTACCGCAATCGTTGTTCTCTGTAGTTGATTTCCAACTTAGTTTGTTTATCTCCCCTGTAAGAGAAAGTGAGATGGACTTATAACATTTACGAACGTAAGGAACAAGGATCCACACAAAACAATATCGAAACAACGATTCCCAAATCGATTAGAATTGTATGCCATCGTTTAACTTTGAAAAGAATCGATTATATTTTAATATTCTGGGATATTTATTTTGTTCTTTATATATTATTGGAATTTAAAATAGCATAAAAACTTTGTAAATAGTTTAGTTTCATACGTACTTAAAATGAAATGGAAGCAATTCAAATGAATTTTGAAATTTAGCCTTTAACTTAGCCTTAGTAGTAGTCTCCTCAAATGAGCTATACAGCTCGAATTTTGTCGTAGTATTAATTTTCATGATTGTATTGTCAATTTTATTTTGACAGCTGTTGTGTTTATTAATTTATATTAAAAATCAATATAGGAATAGGAATATAAAACGTTATTATAGTAATATAAATAATGGATTCGGATTTACTTCCCCTAGAAGAAATTAGAATAAAGGAAGAACCAGAATATTTCGATTCAAGTATTGACTGGAATGAAAACAATCCTTGTGATACACTTATAAAAGTTGAATTATTGGAAACAGATAGTAATTCTAAAAATTTAGTGTGTAAAGAATGTAATTCTGTATTTGTAAACGAGCATGAATTAAACATACACAGAATGATACATTCTTCAGATCATACTTGTTTTATATGTAAGGAATTTGTAAGAAACAGATTCCAATTTGTGGGTCATGTTAGAAAACATATGTGTGCAAAGCCTTTTAAATGCCCTAGCTGTGATAGGTCATTTCCTAGCCCTAGAGAAACCAAATTACATCAAAGAGTGCATAGTGATGATAGACCCTTTATGTGTACAGAATGTGGCAAAGCTTTTAAACAAATTTCTACCTTAAAAGATCATGAAGTCGTACATACAGGAGAGAAGAAATTTAAGTGTAAGGTAATTGATAACGTGTTTAAATTATTTATTGTTTTATGTAAGACTGTGATTTACCAAATATGTCTATTCATGACATAAAACTATTTTCATGTATTTGGAAGAATCTGATTTGTGTAAAATTTTCTCTATGTGATAAGATAAATTGTGGAGTGTCACTAAATTTGGTGTAAAACTTTCAACAAGTTACTATTCACACAATAGGTACCATCTTGATAGTCAGCAACCATTGGTTTTGACAAAGAAACAAAAATTGCAATCAATGAAACAATAAAATAATTGATGGTTGATATGAAGCTTTACTTAGAATTACATTCCTTTTTTCTTACAAATAAGCCTAAAAAATGCCATAAAAAGCCTTTTAAAGTGTCTAGAATGTATTCCAAAGACAGAATTCTTCATTGAATAATCTGCCTAATTGGTATTAATGTAGATTCATTAAGTGGACTTGAGCAGCCACTGCGGAAATAAAAATAACCATTATTATTGCCAACCTCCATCAAGAGATGGTACTTGATAAGAAAATGAGATGGGTAGATTTAAACTAGAACTCCTAATACAATAGTTTTACATTTAAAAGCTTTAATATTTAAAGCAGCAATATAATAATTTATTGTTATAATGTAAAGTGACCACAAACATATTTTCTTACTCACTGCTAACAACTGAATTCGTAAATTCTAAGAGTGGAACAAATCATGCCTTATCAGCACATTAGTCTGGTTATTTTTTATCCATTCATCTGAAGTATTCTGGTTGAGAGAGAGAGAGAGAGAGAAATATATTTTATTGATACCAAGTTAATAAAGGCCATTGACTAAAGTCTTTCAGCCACTATGTTAGTTGATTATTTTCATTATTTGTTTGTTAGACTCTAGTTTAACTACATGATTTTTGACAATACATTTTAATATTTGTTTACTTAGACTTTAGGTGATAAATGAAAAAATTGTAGTGGTGTGATTGGTGTGTAATGATCTATTGAAATTATTTTGAAAAACACTAAATTCATTTTGGATCATAAGTACCTGTTTTAATTTGCCTGTAAGTAGCAATCTTTGTATTGTTGAACATTTTTCAGATCTGCGAAGGAGCATTTGCCACAGCAACGAGTTTACGAAGGCACATCCATGTGATGCACGAAACAGTTCGTTCTTATCCTTGTAGATACTGCAGAGAAAGTTTTACTAGTCAACAAGCCCGTGAGCAACACACAGCAATACACAAAGACATTGATCCATTGAAGTGCACTACTTGTGGAGAGAAATTAGCCGATCTGGAAGAGTTCACACTACATAGGAATAAGCATTTAGATGTGAAGGCTTCTGGCACTTGCGAATATTGTGGAAATAAGACATTTTATTTTGGTTTGAAGGAGCATATTGAAAAAACACATCAGCCTAGGTAACTCAATTTTTTTACACTATTCAATTTTTTTTATTTGTTGTATGCACTCAAGAAGAATAAATATCAGAAAATCTAGATTAGTACTGTTATTATAATAAATATTACTAAAACATGAAGAATATGTGTTATGAAATAAATAATATGTTTCTTTGCAGCAGGCTTACACCTAATCACTGATTGAAAAACCTGAAGCACCTCACTTAGCCTGCATGCCATACTGTGCTCATGTCTACTTTGACTTTTCTTTTCTGATGCAATTTAAATTGTCATGGAGGTGAATAACCTGGATGTTAACAGATTAAATAGGTCATCACTTGTGACTTCTGGCGAAATTTTTGACTACAGTAGAACTCCAATTATCCGAATTAATGGGGACCGGGACCCATTCGGATAATCAAATTATTTGGATAATCGGAGTTTTTTAATAAAAATTGCCATTGGAGAGAAAAAAAGCTACGTTTTGATATTGCACTATTTTTTAATTGAATAAAATGAAAGAAACATGATATTTTCACATGTTTTAAATGTAAATAAAATGTACATATGTACATACATACATACATACGTACAAGTTTAGAAATAAAAATCATTGTCTTTTAAACATCTCCGTCAATGTAAGCTGTTTTGCGTTCTTCATCCGTTTTCGGGCAGCCAGGTCACGCATTCGCTTGACGGTGAGCAGTTGCAAGTGGTCACACTCGGGCTGACGCTCCATCCAATTCAAAGCAGTCTCGAGGCCGGCAAATGCTTCACTAGCTGATGGTCCAGCGTCTACTTCAACATCAGCAGAAAGTTCTTCTTCCACTTCCACTTCAACATCTTCTCTCACACTTTCAACAATTTCATCATCATTGAGAATTTGAAAACCAGGGTCAGACGTGTCACAAGCCATCCACTCTCCTACATCTTCAGCACTTACTTCTGTACAACCAGGAATTTTTACAATCATTTTTCTCATTTCCTCTAGTGGCAACGCATCTTCATCCTCTCCATTTTCTTGTTTCTCATATTCTTTTTTTTTGTTCTTCTCAGACGGTAGGCCTTTCAGTTTATTCCACGCACGTCTTAGCGTCACTGCCGTAACCAAACTCCAAGCTTCCGCTACCATCTAACAGCAGTCCTTTAAATTTATCTTGCTATGATTTGCCAAAACCAATTCTTCATCTTCAGCACCTTCAATCAGCAGTTTTCTCAGCAGTTGCCTTCTGTAATGGCGCTTCATTGTTTCAATAACAGACTGGTCCATGGGTTGCAGCAAACTTGTAACATTGGGAGGCAAAAACGTCATTTTAAACTGCCCATTCTCTCTTTCCAACAGTTCTGCTGTAGGATGAGTGGGTGCGTTATCAACAATTAAAAGCACCTTACTGCCTTCTTTTCCCACCGATTTTTGGTGCTTTTTCACTTCAGGAATAAACACTTCATCATACCATTCAGTAAACAAAGCTGCAGTCATCCAGGCCTTGGGTTGACTTTTGTAGAAGAGTGGAAGTGTTTTTACGTTTTTAAATGCTCTTGGATTTTTTGATTTTCCTATCAAAAGAAGTGGTAGTTTATGATTTCCAGTGGAGTTGGCACAGTTAAGCACTGTAACACGTTCTTTACTGACCTTATGTCCAGGGGCACTAGATTCCCTTTTAGAAGCCAAAGTGGTTTTTGGTAATGCTTTCCAAACAAGGCCAGTTTCATCGGCATTATAAACAAACTCCGGATCATAGGATTCTGCTGCAGTTTTAAATTTTTCAATAAAACTTTCAGCAGCTGCAGAGTCCGCTGAAAGCTTCTCACCAGCCAAATCTAACTCGCGTACACCATGCCTGAATTTAAAGTTCCTTAGCCAGCCGTTACTAGCCTTAAAAGATGAATAACCAAGCTTTTCTGCTAAGATTTTGGCTTTTTCACAAAGGATTGGGCCTGAAATCGGATTTCCCATAGAACGTTGCTGCAAAAACCATTTAAACACGGCATCTTCCAAATTTTTGTTGGTTGCTTCTTCATTGTTTTCCTGGAGGAACTTCCATCTTCATTTTCAAGCACCGAAACAAAGTTTAAAAGTGTTGACTTACTGTTTTTAATGTCACAAATTGTTGCTTGTCCAACACCATAAATCTCAGACAACTTCTTACCCGTTACACCTTTATCGAGTTGCTCTATAATTTTCAGTTTGTCCGCTAACGATAGCACAACACGTTTTCTTTTCGAAGCCATGGTAAAAAACAATACAAACGTAAGCCGTAGCGAAAGAGTAGCGTTTTCGAGCAAGGTCAATAGCACACTGACTAATGTAACTGAACAAACAATGACAGGTGCGCCGTGACTCATAGCACGTGTTGTGTATACACTGACGCCGCGGACTTTGGACAATTTTCTGATTTTTTCTGAAAGTGATTCGGATAATCGGCGATTCGGATAGTCGGAGTTCGGATAATTGGAGTTCTACTGTATTTGAATATCTCTATCGCTGGATAAAACTTTTGATGTTAAAATTCCACATTTACTATACATTATATGGTGAAATGTGTCACTAAAATTTAATAGTATCAATAGCAGTTGAGCTATCTACTGCAGTAGCCCAGAAGATTACTTCATATCGCATATTAGAATAAAAGTTTACATAATATACTGATAGTAAAATCCCCTGGCCTAGTTCTTTAACACTCTTAATGAGTAGCAGGCTCTTTTCAGTTTTTTTGTTGTATTTTGTATTTGTTCTCCCCAATTCAGATTCTGGTTAATATGAAGAACAAGAAATTTAACTGATCTAGCAGGTTCCATGTTTTGTGATAGAAAACTAATTGTATCTGGACACTGTTCTCATTACTAGCTGGTTCTAAAGTAGACAAAAACTGTCTTATCAGTATTAAGTAACAACTGATTTCCAATGAACCAGTATTCAGCCTTGCTTAGAATTTGTTCTGTCACTGTGAGAGTGTTTCTAAAGTTTTTTCCCAGAAAAGCACATTCGAGTCATCGAAAAGGTCGTTTATGTAGACCAAAAAGAGAAAAGTCCCCAAGACACTCCCCTGTGGTATGCCTAATTTTAAATTGATTGGTTCAGAGTAAACCTTACATCCCCTTTTCTCCAGGCATACTTTTTGCGACCTATCTGTGAGAAACGATTTTGTCCATTTTAATGCCAGTCCCTGTATTCCATAGAGATGTAATTTTTGTAGTAAAAGAACATGATCTAGGCTATCGAAAGTCTTAGATATGTCCAAAAAAAGCACCTAGTGGTTTCATCTTTGCCTCCAGTTTTTCTAAAATTTTTAATATAAAATCATAGGTAGCTGTCTCAACAGATCTCTTTGAGAGAAAACCATGCTGTGAACTACTAAATAAGTTGTTTGCAGCAAAAAAGTTTTGTAGTCTTAAATATATTGCTTTTTCGAATATTTTTGAGAATGGTGGAAGAAGGCTTATTGGTCTATAGTTCTCCATCTTAGTAACATCACCTTTTTTATGTAGTGGCTTGACAATAGCTAATTTTAAACTTTGAGGAAATTTACCTTGCCTGAAAGAAGTATTAACTATAAAAGAAAGAGGAAGAGAAATCTCTGATGAAACATATTTAATTAATTAAGTTGTTTGATATTTCATCATAACCAGAACTATGCTTGTTTTTAATTTATTTGTTATGTGAATTATTTCTTTCTTTGAAACATGAGTTAAAAACATGCAATGATTATTTTGTTCAATATTAATTTGAAAATTGTTTACATATTTTATTTTCTTTACAGCGCTTCTGGCTCTGCATTTGCCATAAATTGATTTATTTCGTTAGAAAGCACCTGAAGGTCACCCTCAAAGCAGAAATTACCTTGATTTTTGGAATTACCCTTATGTGTTTTACCAATTTCCAAGCCATTTTAGTTTTATTTTCAATTCGTTCTTTATAACAATTTTTTTGAGATAGAGTGAGTAAAGAATTGTATTTGCGTTTTTCTATCCTGTAAATATCGTTATAATCAACATTATTGGTAGATAGTGTAAACGAAACGTCAAGCCTAGATTTACAATGTTTTATATCATTATTTTTAAAGTACTTTTGTGATCTTTTTTTTTATTGTTGTTGACACTTAAGTTTGGCCACTCTTCCAAAAACACTATTACTCGGGTTTTTCTTTGAATTTCTTCATTTCTAACTGTCTTAACTTATTTGTAGGATTTTTTTGGGGTATATTTGTGAGTATCATTGTTGAAGACCATTTGTAAAGAGGGATAAGATACTAGACACGAACACTATTCATTTTAAATTCATGGTGATTTCTCGAGACTAATAGATGAGTTTTGCTAATAATTACTCAGCACTGTCCCACTCTTCTATCCAGTTGAAAACTGTTTTTTTTTTCAACTTTCTTTTGTGTCTATATGTAAATACGTTTTCCAATGTTTGAATATCAAGTCTTGTTATATGTTTGGAAAACCGAATATGATTCAGATTTGTGTTGTCTCTATTTATACTCTTATTTTGCGTGTCCACATTTTTAAAGATTTTTCCAGGCCTGAGGTAAATAATTTAAAAGAAGTATGACATGTGATACTTTAGATATCTAGGTAGCTGGATTGACTGCACGGTTGAAAGTGACGAGGAAATTTCGACCAGAATAGAACTCGCACGGAAAAATTTTGTTAGCTGGCGTTCTGTATTATGCAGTAGAAGTCTGTCGTTGACCACACGTCTAAGAGTATTGGAGTGCTACGTCTGGTCCACTTTGTTCTATGGATGTGAAACCTGGACTACAAAAATAAAAAAGTTATGGTGTTACCGTCGTATGCTCAGAATCCCGTGGACAGCACACATATCTAACGACCGTGCACAAAGAGCGAGTATTGATCATCATCAAAATGAGAAAGGTCCAATACTTCGGTAATATAATGAGAGGACTTAAATATCGCTTACTCCGGTTAATCATTCAGGGCACAATCGAAGAAAAACGTTGGATCGGAAGAAAATAACTGTCCTGGCTACGTAACATTAGACAATGGACAGGTCGTAC